AGTCGCACTTAGGTAATTTAAGTTGATAGCTATTGAAAGCAAGTAAACTAGTTGATTTTCTAGCTGGCCGCCAGCCTTTTTTCTTTCTCGGTTTCAGGCTACGTCATCGCCGCCATGTTGGATGACGATAACATAGCATTCCTCATTAGTTTCGCTTGTTCATTCATCCAACATGGCGGCGATAGCTTTGTTCTTTGATAGTCTCCTTCACGATTCCCTGCGCCATCTTGAAAGGCAGCCGTGCCTTTGCATCGAAGCGAGACGACCGTTGAGCGTGCAATGATAGAAACCCACTTTCACACTTACAGACAATTATTCACAGGTTTCTATCATTGCACGCTCAACGGTCGTCTCGCTTCAATGCAAAGGCACGGCTACCTTTCAAGATGGCGCGGGTAACCGTGAAGGAGACTATTCTCGAGGGATTCTTATCATGTTGTTGAAAATCAAGAATTTCAAGAGTTAAAAGAAGCTAAGGAAGTAGTCAAGATTGAGCAGAGAAAATATCGCATGAATTAAATCACGTGAATTGAATCTTACTTATCAATACCATGATGCATTTCGACAAAAATAACGTCATTAGGAAAGAAGATAATTGAGTGGTAACCTTACCGCTGCAGTAGATGCCGTGTTCATGATCATTTACAGTCGTTGACTCGAGTCGAATACCGCATTCAAAACAGACGAAGCAATTTCTGTGATAGACCTTAGAGAAACAACAAAATCACTTGTTATCTTAACATCCGACATCCAGTTTCCTAGAGCAACTATCAAAGCATGATGCCCTCAATTCAACTACTCTAATGTTTAAATGAGAAGTATAAATATATTTTATATTGCTTATCAAATCCCAATATAAGCTAAAGCATATATTGCAAAAACACTTGAGAGAAAATATCATTTGTAAGAGAAAATCGAAGTTAAACTCGTATGCAAATCAGGACAAATCTCTTACATATGCACCCTTTTAATAATTCCTAAGGTATTGTGTTCTCCGCACTTGACGTCAAATTTATTTTTTTGAAATTTTTACAATACAAAAGGAATTCAAAAGAATAAACTTGACGTCAAGTGCGGAGAACACAATACCTCGGGACTTATTAAAAGGGTGTATAAAGATGCAGTCACTGCGATATGATTTTACCTTATGTATGAATTATTCATGAATTTGATAAATATCTCTTACGTGATTACTACTTGGAATCTTCTCGGCTTCAAACACAGGGTTCCCGCATTTGTGACAGCTACCCTCTTGGAATTC